AAGGTTTACTTCTGTTTTTCCATTTATAGTTGCTTTGTTCAATTTTCTCAGCCAATAATAATGGTGTTTGTGTTGTACTTAATTTTGGTTGACATTTATATGCATCTATAACGTCTGCAACATAGACTTTTAATAAGAATGAAATGCACCTTTCTTGAATGGTGAACTTGTATTAGAGTAGATCAGAAGGTAGCTGCAAAGTTGCACTAATTTAAAGCGAAGAACTCTTTAAATGTTTATTCTGATTTATGATTTTAATTGATGAGTTTCATTTTGCATGAAACTGGTTCAAATTTCCAACTCATCCGAAAATGGTAGTCAGCAGAAATTGGAGAAATCGTCTTGTTTGCCATTATATGACAGATCTACAACATGCCTGGAATAGGGATTATGCGATTGTTTTGCTTTTGATAGATCTTGAAACCTTTCTGATATAGGGTATGTACGTGCTCAGTAATGTGGCATTTGGGAATGAATTCCACAAGGAAGCAGTCATGGACCAACTTTTCCCACAAATAGGTGACAACATCCAATCAATTATGATCAAGCTTTTGCAGAGTAATGACAGCAGGTTACGTACAGCTTGTGTCTGGACTGTCCTAAATCTCACCTTTCCAAGTAGTCCCGCTGCACACAGTCGGGTTGCAAAATTACAGAATGCTTGCATAACTTCTCAATTAAAGGATATGGTCAATGATCCTTGCCTCGACGTAAAAGTGGTGATTTTTAATTATCTTATTTCAAACGGTTTTTTACTTCTTCAACTCATTAGCTGAAATTATATGATTCTTTCCAATTAATGCATATATGGTCATTTGGTTAGATAGTACAATTGTGAAACTACGAAAATGAGCTTCATAAAGAATTATACTAGACTGTTATTAGAAGGTCCTTTATCTCAACTGTCCTCATGTCCCATACATATCATCTCTCTATAATACAATAGGTCTTATAGATCTAAACATGATTTTTTTATATTTTTTGAAAAGAAAGATTAGATTAAAAACATTCATTTCTCTTCATTCACCTAGTAAGATTAGATTTCTCTGACATGTGATGTGATGAAAATTGATTGTTATATTGCATAATTTGGTGTGTGTCTAATCTTAAGCAGGTCAGACACTGTTTGAGGTAAGTTAAGCTTTGCTGAAAGTGCAGGCTGGTTGCTGGTGTGTTGAAAGGGTCTGAGAGCTGCTGGTGCTTTGTTTACTGGTTGTGTTGAGTGTACTTATGATCTCCTTTTGTTTGTTGGTAGTTGTTGTTTGTAGATTTTTCTGGTTTTGGTTGTGCTGTTTGGTTGGTGACTCTCCAACCTTGGCAGTGTGCTAGCAAATGATTGGGCTCGTATGGTGGTGCCAACCTAGTCAGGATTGCTATATCGGGCTGTGATGCCTCGATAAAGATTCTTTTTAGTTGTTATAATCAATAAAGATTCTTTTGCTGATCCAAAAAAAGAAGAAAAAGAAATCATTTATTTTTCTGACTCTTTGGAGGTGGAATGCCCTGCTTTGATCTCAATACTTGCAACACTTGCTCACTAGATCTGTTTGTGTATTTACATGTGTATTGATGTATTTGGGCTTCTTTCTCATTGGTTCTCTCTGTTGGTAATTTAGTTGACTGACAAATGTTTTCCAGGTCAATCTGAGAACCCTGAAGTTAATGCAGAAAGGTCAAATGCTCAGCTTGACACAGGAGTTGGTATGGGAAATTAGACGATGAACATGAGGTGGTTTTTGGCCTTTCTTTCCTACAGCAGGTACTGCCATTTTGCTTTTTCTTTCACGAGTTTATTAGATTGATAAAATTTGAATTTTAACATATTAATTCTTTGTTGTCGTGCCTAATTTAGGAATCCTAGTCTCTTGGTTGCTAGGTTTCTTTTTCTTTTAAATAAAGTTTTCTTTTCTTTTCTTTTATTTTTCTTTGTTAATTTAGTAATACTTTTTCTATTATTACTAATATTGCTGGTATTTCCTGGGTTATTTTTTTTCTTGCGTGTTAACACATTTGTGATGATATCAGGGTACTAGTATATCTCTGATCTTTTTGGCCTTTATTCTTTTATATTGTATATAAAGAATATTTTGGAAAGGGTTAAACAATCTGAGGTTGTTTGCTTGGCTTGAGGATGATTTGATCAAGTAGCAGGAAACTCCTAAGGTGACGTTTCTTACTCAGAAACTCAATTTAACGGTGCTAAGTGAAAGAGAAACCTGCTCCCATAGAGGAATAAACTCAGCCCAACTGTGATAGAACTGTCAGACATACAGATCTTAAAGAAACAAAAGAATAGTTGGTAATTTAGTGTGTAGTTCAAAATTTGATCTCTAGCATTTTTGTATATTTATACTTAATTTTTGTTGGAGTATATTTGAATAAATATAGTTTCGTGCAACTAATATTTGATCCGTCTTCCACTTTCATGAGCACACATATCCTGTATCTAATAGGCATGGTATATTGACTTCACTTGACAAAAAGCTTCAAATTTCAACGCCCTTGCAGGAAACTATTCCTTCTTTGGAAACAAATTCAAATGAGAGTCATATTGATCAGCTTGGAAGTGGTGGAGAATGCTCAAGCCCTTTAGATGGACCAATCAAAAGTGGATCATCAATTTCTGTTATCTGTACTAGTTCAAAGCCTGATTTTTCAAAGTTAAAGGGTGAAATATGTTTGGACAACCTATCAGTTAGGGAACTTCATGAAACCTTTAAAGCAACATTTGGACGGGAAACTTCTGTCAAGGACAAACAGTGGCTGAGGAGGAGGATTGCCATGGGATTGGCCAACTCTTGTGATGTTCCAACTATAACTTTTGTGATTAAAGATAACAAAGTGGTGAAGAAAGGTAAAGAAGAAAGCTTTAAGAGTGTAGATCATACCCCTGCTAAGGTTCTGTCAGTTGGAGTGAATGAAAACTGTGGAGGTTCACCAATTGGATGAAATAACCAAATAGAAAATCCTCAATATCTTTGTGGCAAGATATTGACAGATCCTAGTTTAGAATATGATTGTAGTGTTGAAGATTTGAACATTGAACAGAGAGCAGCAAAAAGAGTTCGGAATGGAAGAAGCAAGCGAATGTGTGAAGCCATCTAAGGGTAACTTTCATGCTACTGCTGCATGAATGTATATATTGGGAATGTAAAGTTTAGTATGTAGCTTTTACCTTGTTATCTTGCAGACAGTCTTGCTATTTTTTTGGTGGGGAAGGTTAAGTTGATTCTGTAACTTCTGTGTCTGTCTCTCTTTGTACTTGACACGATTGTAAAGAAATAAAGTTGTCTTGTAATGTTTATGATTGATGAGGAAATGTTCCGATCTTTTGCATTCCATGGCAACTGAGAGTGTGAAATGTTGTACTTTTGTTTCAAATTCCTAATAGCTTTTGCTAATCAAAGCCCCAAAACTAGTAAGGGCACTTGTGCCCCAGTAAGTTATACTTTTGCCGACTAAATAAAGTAGTCGGTGTATCACCAAGCACATTTGGCGACTAAATAATTAGTCGTTAAAATTATTAATTTTGGCAATTAAAGGATTTGGTCGCGAATAGGTCTATTGCCGACTAAAGTTTTAGTTGCGCAAACATTTCTTTTGGTCGCGAAATGTGACAATTGGCGACCAAATAATTTGGTCGCAGAATGTGACAATTAGCGACTAAAATTTTTGGTCGTGGAATGTCACAATTGGCGACCAAACTTTTTGGTCGCGAAATGTGTCAATTGGCGACTAAGATATTTGGTCGGGAAAATATCACTTTTCGCGACGAAAGTGTTTTACCGACAAAATAAATTAGTCGCGGTAATTAAATATTTAGCGACCAAAAATTTAGTCGGCAAATCCAACTTTTGCCGACCAACTAAAATTTTGGTCGCGAATTACTTTTGTTGACCCTCAATTGGCAACCAAAGTAGCGACCAAAAAAATTGGTCGCGGATAACTTTTGCCGACCAAAAATAGGCTTTTAACGACTAATTTTTTGGTCGGCAAAAGTGTTAATTCTTGTGGTGTATTTTATTATATTTATTTTAAAAGAATACATTGTCCATTTTTAAAATTATATTTGTCATTCATATTTTTTAATGAAAAATATAATAATACAATATAAACTATGGTTATAAAATCAATTCGAATTTTTTTATTTTTATTTTTTTAAAATGATCTACATATCTTATAAATAAATGATTCAAATTATCTGATGAGGGTTTTTGCTCTTACCTTCTATTTATTCATGTAATTTCATATGCATTGCATGTTGATTTTATCAATAAAGTATCCTTCTTTTGCTGATTAAAAAAAAACAAAAAAGCACCCCTCTGGTCCACAGTGTGCACTTGAGAGATGGTACTGACCATATATATATATATATATATAACAACCGCTTAACTGCTTGATATGAGTTATGAGTTTTTTTTTGATTTTGCCTTTTTATTTTGAATAATTTACTAATTATGGCTTATATGTTGAGTGAAGATTTTTTTGTAATTACGCAAACATTTTTGGTCAATTATGCAATATTTTTTTCGTAGTTATGAAAACATACTAAATCAATTATGAAATAGATTTTTTCGTAATTACGCAAACATTATTGGTTAATTATGAAACATAATTTTTTTTATATTATTTTTGAACAAATTATAAATACACCCATAAAGTTGGTTTAAAATATGAATCGATCCTATAATATTAGAAATTACAGTTACCGTTTTTTATAAATTTTAATTTAACACAATGCTCAAGGAAAAACAAATTCTCCTATGTAATAATAAATTATCAAAATTGTTTGTTGAAAAATATTTCTCATATCATTAAAATTTTTTAATTGATTTAATGATTTATTTATTAACAAAATAGTTAACTGAAGGATATTTTTCATATCATTAAAACTTGTTAATTTACTTAATGATTTACGTATTAATAAAATCGATTATTTGTTGTATGAGTATGATTTATGTATTA